TATGGAAAACGTCTAGATCCCCTTTGGTTGAATCCACAAACATGAATTACTATCCTAAAGCAAAAGAGTTATTTGAGAATCACAATCATAATGTAATTAAAAATAGATGCTTACACCCATCTAAAATTAGAATTTCCATTATCAAAATTAATCATATTTGGCATCATGTATCAAGCTGGGGAAATTTCTTATTTGATTATGTATATTTTTTTCTTTCATGTCTGTGATAAGAGACATCTTTACTTTCCAAGGTAATACGATCCTTTTGAGTTTATCAAAGCCTTGGTCGATAATTGTAATATATTATAAAAGAAGTTGAATTAAATCCATCAAGCATCAATTGAATTCATTTTAAGGTGCATAACAAACATGTATAGCCCTATTCATAACTATGAAAACTAGCATGCCTCATTTTATCCTTGCTCATTCAAAGTTAAGGCTATGACCTTACCTAAGGGCGAGAATTTAGTAAACAGTGCATATGTTGCATGGAGATACATAGTTGAGATGCTTTTAAAAGTTTCTTATAAAGTTTCTCCTATATGTTGCAAGCTTTTATAATCAAGATTTTCTTCAACACATACACTCTCAAATTCAACATGGACATCCTACTGAGATTACAAACCAAATAGGATATTAATTTAATGTCATGGTTTATAGTTGCCAAATTAAAGTCAAAAGCATCTGCTTTGGTGTTCTTGACATTGATTCATGCAAAGGAGAGCTATCTTGATTGATCAACGTCACATAGATAGACACCCCACTTAAAAAAAATTATGGAAAGATTTCTAGGAAGTAATGAAGCTTGATCCTATGAAAGATTATATCATCTTTTACTCTTATTTTTGTGCAAGAGTTAACCTTAATAGGATGATGCAACATTATTGATTATACAAATAGCATATATTGATGAAGTGGTTGATTGATGTGGAATATTAAGCAGTGATCATGAGTTTTTGTAAACGCGTGAGCCATGTTAACAACTTAAGTAATGAATTTACATAGAAGGTGTGAATGACACAATCAATTAGGGAGAAAATGACAAAGCTATATGAGGAGTCAGTGGTGAATTTTTTGATGAGGTGCAAGTGATGTAGCAAACTATAGAATGAGCAACAAAGTTGTTTGAAGTGGGGTGAACTAGCAATATAGTGAGTGGAAAAGAGTTTTAAGGAGCAAGTGACGAGGGTTGCAATATTATGCGATGATGAATATGATGTTTACAATATTAAATAATGATGGTAGTTGCCTTTTGATGTTGATGAAGACATTTGTTACGTGTTGGTGGAAAATATAGAACTTGATGCATTTGATAATTAATTAGAGTTGCTTTAATGTAAGATATCACTTAGTTTACTTGAGAATATAAAATTTAACATTAAGATAGGTCCCCATGTAAGTTAGTTGTTATGATTACAAATTTATATGATGGTAGGGACAACGACATGGTTGGAGGTGATTGTAATGCAATCTTAGTTGAAGTTGAATGTGTTCTAGCTCTACTAGACATGGTTATGACACCATTTTTGTTGGAGATGGTTGTGGTTTAGATCTTATTGTGCAAAGCAATGATGATGTATTCAAGGAGATAATTGTGTTATGAAGCGATAGTATAAGTCCTATGTAGTGATGACTATGGCACAAGTGCGGTTATGATGCAAGTCTTTGAGGAGATAAATGTGATGCAAAAAAATTAGTTATAACACATGTTTGAGTCTCAATGAGATGGTTATGATGCAATCAATGTTGCAATATAGTGCCTGATTGTGGTAATAGCTATGAAGGATGTAGCATAGGTTTTGGAGGAGATTATTAAGACACAAGAAAGGTAATGAATTAGTCTTAAAAGAAGATGGCTATAACAAAAGCTAAGTTATGGAATATACCTTAAGACTATAATGTAATCAAGATTGTGGTGCATGTTTTGAAGTAAATGATTGTAGTGCAATTGAGGTTCATAGATATAACAATAACTATGATGTAAGTGAAGTTGTGGCACATGTCTTCATGATATGATTATGTTATAAATAACATTATATGCAGGCATGGATGCATTGATGATGGAAGTGAGGTTACAACACAGGTATTGGAGGACATTTCTATGATAAAAGTGAGGTAGTGGTGTGGTTATTCAAGGATTTTACTAAGGATTCAAGCACATTTGAACATGAAAAATCTTATAGCTTGACCCTAACTACATTTAAGATTTCCCCGAGTTCCGAGCTCCTCTGTGCTATAAAATTTCTACAAATCCTTAATTATGTCTGCTTGTACAAATTTCTATTGGCTTTTTACTCTCCAAAGCTTGAAAATCTTATAGCTCCCTTGACAAGATTGCTCGTAGGATTATCCCTTAGCTATTGTCTCTCCCTTAGACTTGAAAATTTCTACAACTCCCATGATGATGAGAACTTAAAGGATTTCTCTCTAGCTCCAGTCTCTTCTAAGCTTGAAAAATCTTATAGCTTAGAATTCCTTAACGAACATAATTAAGACTTTAGAAATAATTTTCTTTACAATCATATCTACTGTTATATGATATGATATAAAAAAGCACTCTTAGTTCAGTTCGGAAGAACGCTGGTCTCCAAAACTCGATGTCATAGGTTCAAATCCTAGAGAGCGTGATTCCATTTATTTTATGTCGAATTACAATGAAATAATTTAACAAAACAAAGTAGAATTGCAACTAAAATTTGACCTCCTACAAGGAGGAGGTCAATAAAAAAAAGAGATGAATATTCTAATTTGCTTCAAAAGGATCATAACAGCTTTCTTAAATTTTTTTAGTCGAGACGATTAACCTGTTGTGATTAGGGTAGACTCCAACAACTGACAATGTTTCAATGAATAGCCACTAAAAGAATTTGACTAGCTAAATAATTCTGGCAATGTTTCGATGGATAGCCACTAAAAGAATTTGACTAGCTAAAAAAATTGTTGTAAATAGCATGTTTGTGTTTGGTTTGTATTGAATTCATTTTTTTCGTGTGGTTCATGTTGGCTCTAATTAATTAAAAATCAGGTTGGCTCTAATTAATTAAAAAAAATGAAATTTCAACCTTTCTTAAATAACTCATAAAAAATCAAAATAAATATATAAAAAATTAAAAAAAAATTATTTCAGAAATTTTATGATTACAATAACTAATTAAGTACATTTAACAACAAACAATTAATATCTTAGATTACAAATAGAAAATTAACAAGAAAAAATATTGATATATTTCTAAATGATAAATTTTTAGTCAATACAAGCTTAAAATGATCGAACAGTGCCTCCATTCGTGCTTAGCGTATTTAAAATTTAAGCTCAAAATATCGATTCATGTTGGGCTCACTTAACGAATAAATAGAGCACGAGCTTCCTATTGAGCCAAACATAAACTGTTCACAAACAACTCATTTTTTTTGTAAGCGTATCACAAAATTGAGGTAAATACGCACCTCACATTGATATGTTAGTTTTGAGCTTTAACCACTAACTAAGAGGTTTTACGTTTCAAGCTTGTGTATGTGATATGTGCGTGAGCTTGCCATAATTGGCTCAAAAGTCTAAAAAAAGTAAAGGTATACAAAAATATTAATAGCTTAGCAAAGTCAAAAACTTACCTAGCAAAAATGCGTGTAGAACAATGCCAGTGTGCTTCTCTCCTTACACCTTCTAATTATTTAAAAATAAAGAACGAGGATAAATATTATGCCGGCCCAAGGGGGGCTAGCTGAACTAGTCCAACTTGGACCAGTTCTCACCTACAGGAGGTTGTTCAAGGGGGGAGGAATTAACTGGGAGGGGGCGGTTGGAGTAGAGGGGCCCACACACTAATCATGCTTAGTATTGGAGTGAAAATTCAAATTAGGGGTTGTTTAGGGATTAAGAAAATTTCATTTGTCATTAATTGCTTTCTTCTTGCTATGGGTTAGAGGCATCTTGAATTGGTGAAATCTGAATTTGAGATCTAGGGTTTGTTATTGGGCTCTAGGCTTCGGCTAGAGATTTGAAGAGCTGAATCTTTCTCTCGAATTGAAGATTCATTGTATCGTGTTGTTCTTTTCCTTCTCTTATTGAATCTCAAGTGTGCTTCTCCCTATTTTCCTGCAGACTTTTGTGAAAATTGCACCATTATTATTGAAGTTCTCTAAAATTCAGAAGTTTTTCTTGTGTTCCATGATTGTTTTCTATCAATCAACTACATGAAATTAATTTCAGCTTTATAGCAGGCCATAAGGATTGAAGAAACGACTTTAAGAGAAGCATTTGAGCTGTTCCAACAAACTTTTAGGACAGGCTGTTCAATCTGCTGCTGAAATACTTTGGGAACATATTAGCAGAATCTAAATTACATCAGCATCATGTATATCAAATGTTTTACCAGCTTTATTAGTTTCAGACTTTTTTTTCTGTTTATAAAAAAAATGTGTTCAGAAACTATCATTTTAAATGTTCTTCATCTTTATGATTTTATAAATGTATGAAAGTATTATTAATTTGTTTTATACAATTTAAAATAGAGGAACTTAACATAAGATCCTAAAATTGACCATAAATTATCTCTCAATTCGTTGATTAAAATAAAATTTGGTCTAAACTATTAATCTGACTTTTACTATTTTGAATGTTATTATAAGAACAGTGGATATAAATACTGCAATTTCAAAAGTGATTATTAAATAATTAGCTTCATTGATTATTGGATGTCTGAATGTGGACAATGATTGCTGGAATTATATCAAATTAACTCTAAGGCTTCATTTGGTACGTCTTTCTTCCTGCTGCTTAAAACAACTTTCTAGCACAAAATTAAAAATTTTGTACTAAAAAGTTGCTTTTAAAAAAACAGTAAAAAGCTGTCCCAAACGAAGCCTAAATTTATATTAATAATCACATCCTTAAATGCAAATTGAATTGTTGGATTTACCTTATCAATATCAATATAAACTTTAAAGTAACTGCACAAAAGGCGCAGAGACAAACAAGATGAAGGAAAAAATCCATCATATAAACTTTCAATGCTAAATGATTTTATTGAGAAATGTTTACTCTGCATAACTATATACATTGCCGATGTTTTCTCCACTATCTTAAGTAATATGATCAGAAGCAGACTCATGTGTTCATTACTGACAGTAACATTTGCTTATCTATAATGTAAAAAAACTAAAAAATTTCCTCATGTATTTACCATATAAAGGGTGAAGCATTTTGATATGCACCAAAAAAAAAAAAATCATAATTCTTAGAACTTGAGCTTTTCAGCAGGGTATAATGAGTCGGATTTACCAATCTTAATTTTCCTTGTAGTGAAGAATTCCCGGTTTGGCTTCTGGATTTGGAATGGCATCCACGTTTCATTTTTTTCTTCTTTATCATTCTTCTGCCTGCCATTTGAAGTTATTTTAACAGATTTTAAATTGAGTGCAGAAGGAAATGTGGAAAGAATTGATAAAATTTTTCACATGCAGATGATTCCATACCTTACATGAAGCAAAAGGACAAAAGCACCAACCATTGTCATCACCCCTGCAACTGATTTTAGAACTTGGTTTCCTGTCTTTCCAACAGTTCTGCCTTCTCTGCTTTTGCTTTTACCACATTCATGTAGCTTAATATCCTTCTGAAACATACTGTGGTCCTATTTAAAAGACAACCTCATAGTTAGTTTTTAAATAAATTTAAGTAAAATATGTATAAAAAAGGAATTTTTATGGGTGCAGAATTCTATGCAAATCAATTTCCTAATATGCCACCCTAATCTTTAATATGACTGATATATCATCCTAATTTAAACTCTTTCAAAGATGCCACCCTACTTAATGTCAAAGAAATATTCCATTAATTATTTTAAACAAAATATCACATGAAAATAACCTTCCATATAACAAGGGTAAGGTCGAATACTCAAATATCAAACTTAGCCTAAGTACTATTGGGTTGAGCAGGCAGAGTAAATTTAAGCTTCCAAGCTAGAAGCTCTACCAAACACACCTATTGATCTGGTAGAGTGAGGTTAAGTGAGTCTTTAAGGCCTCGGCCAGCTTTACTGTTAAAACTAAAGAAATGAGTAAAGAAGAGAGAGAAAGGAGAGAGCCTCAATAGTATTTCTTGTGTAAATGAAAGAGCCAAGGCACATTATTTATAGGCAAGTAGAGCTAAAGGGAGCCACCCAAAGGCCATGTAAGATAGAAAACTAAGTACAGAAATGTTGGATATTATATACATTTTAACAATAAGGGACAAAATAGGTAAGGAAATGCAATTCAGCCTCTCCAATGGAAGTAAAAATAAATAGGAACCTCCCACTCAATGCAAAATAAAGCTAGATTTGATTGCATTAATCTTAGGCTGGATTTTTAGAATTGATTGCTGATTAATTAATTAAGTTTGATTTCTTGATTTGAGAGGTGATTAGTTCCTTCCAATTTATCACCATCTAGCAATTCTTCCAAAATGGGAAGGTACGGTTGAAGAGAGACCGATTTGCCATGCACTGCATTAAGTTGAGAATATATATTGATCATTCCAAGCATAGAAATGAGATTCTCAAATTGAATTTGATTAAGGTCTATATTGAAGATATCTTGCCTGAGATTTTGTTAGGGTGAAACTAACTTTAATGATGTATTAGCCAGCCCAGTCAACATTAATAAAAAATTTCATACTATCTATTCCTTTTTTGTTAAATAAACCTTTTCCCAAAGACATTTTAGAATATAAAGAGGTTCCACAGTGGGAGCATTCATAAATCAATTTACACTACAGAAAAATAAATATCCCGTAGCATGAGAAAGATATATGAGTTTTTTTTGACAAACCATATGTGATCTTCCTGCTCTTTTGAGTAACCATACTGTGAATCTATTGAACCAAGCTCATAGGAGATATTTTAGGAAAGGTGCTCTGCTAGGGTTTCCCCTCTGCGTCGCCGCCTCCTGAAGATTTTCCTCGTTCTCCTCCTCCGGCGAGGCCGGAGGACCCCATATGGATTTTTAAGTTTCCAAACTTTGTCTTTGTTATTAGTGGTCTTGAATCCGGGAGAAATATTCTTATATACTTCCCTTTTAAGGTCTTCATTTAAGAAGGATTTTTTAGCATCTAGTTGGTGAAGGGGACAATAAAGTTAACAAGAAAAAAGAGAATGACCCAAAAAGAGCTAAATTTAACAACCCATGCAAAATTTTTTTAATAATTAATCCCATAAATTTGAGTAAATATTTTTGCAACAAATTCAGCTTTATATCTTTCAATGCTTCAATTAGCCTAATATTTTTGTATTTAAAATATATTTTCCCCCAACATGTTTCTTGTCTTTTGGTAAGATTGAGAGTTTAAAATATATTTGGTCCCAACATGTTTCTTTTGTTTGGGTAAGATTGAGAGTTTTCATATGCCATTCTTTTCAAGTGCTTGTAATTTTTTTTATGGACAAAATCTATCCATTTAAATATTTTTATTGTTTCAAGAATGTTATTGGGATGTCCACGCTAGAAAGATACTATAAAAGCTTGAAACTGAGGAGATAAATTATCAATAGAGATGTACCATATTATAAAATCCTTGTACCTTTAATGTCTAAATGGATAATTGAAACTTGGATTACAAATGTTTGTTGTTTTCTAAATATCTATTATAAAAAATGCCGTTATTTCTAGCTCTTTCTATATGACCATAAGCAATTTCAATGGGCTAAGAAAATGAGTTTCAAAAAGATGAGGGAGAGTTGTGGGTTTATAATGAGTGGGTTAAATATTCTCATAAAACTCATATTCATTAAGAGTGTTAGAATTCTTCCTCAGTATGTGAATTTATGAAAAAAATATTACATCCAGTGGAGTAGCATTTATTTTTCTTAGCATAGTACATTTATGTTCTTGTTATTAAGTTAAATAACCAATAAAAAAACATTTGATGTCTTTTGAGTCGAGATTGTTCCGATCATGAGGTGAGATATGAATAAATGCAGAACATACAAAGAGTTTGAGAGGAATAATATAGACATGTCTAATTATAGGGTATATTTTGAAGATGACTTGACAATGAATTTTAAAGTTTAGAATACTTGATGATATACGGTTAACAAGATATGCAACAATCAAAATAACTTCTCAATAATATTTTAGAATATTGATAGTGATCATAATGGATCTAATAACTTCTAGAAGATGCCTATTTTTTATTTCAACAATTACTTTTTGTTGAAAGTATATATGCATGAACTTTGGTGAATAATTCTTCATTGAAGAAGGTAGTCCTTAAGAATGTAATAAAAATATCCTCTTCTATTATTAGTCATGAGTATATGAATTTGGGCTTTAAACTAGGTTTATATGTGGAGATGGAATTTTTTAATAGCTTGAGAAGCCCCAAATTTGTCTTTCACGAAAAAAAATCTAAGTAGCACTAGTGTTGTCATCAATAAAGGTTATGAAACATCTAGCCCCCACCTCAAATGCTACTATGAATGATAAACAAAAATTAAGAGGAATTATAGGAATGGCTAGAATAAGTGTTCCTAGTGTGTTTTGATAAATAGCAAGTTTCATATTGAAATGATTCATGATTTTTATTATGATATTTTGAGATGCAAAAATTTAGATGACCAAAATGGAGATGCCATAACATGATTGCACTCTCTTTAGGAAAAGATATATTTTGATCATGTTTTAATTGTAATTCAAATTTTTCTTCATCAACTAGGAGGTAGAGTCTAACATTCTCTTTATCATTGCCAATCCTCCTCCTAGAGACTCATCCTTGAATACATATTTTGATCATGCCTGTAGCTAGATATTAATCCGTCGGTAATTCATATTCAACACTTCTTATAACAAGGATATATTTTATAAAATGGGGAGATATCTCAATCCATACAATATATGTTATCAAGTCTATAATTCATGATTAGTTCTTTTCATTTTTTGAATTGAATTAATTCACACTATGCTAATAATTGGTTCCTGAGCCTTGCTTGCAGTTGGTTTAGCAACTCCATTTGCTTTTGATTGAATAATGGGAATATGGAGGAAGGGGGTGCTTTTTTAGAGTTAATTTTAGTTGTAGAGAAGCCATGCCCTTATTCCATGATTTCAAATTAGTAAGCTTCTCATGCAACTTCCCGCAAATTTCGATTATGCATTTGGATTTCCAATGGTGATCAGAATAAGACCTTTTGTTAGGAATTTTTGTTGGATGCAGACATATCATGATAGGTGAGTGTAGAGTTTTTGCAGTGCCTTGATCTCCTATCATGATCTTTTTGAAACTTTTCTCTCTCCGAAATTCGAGAAGACCTTCAAATGGACGGCATAATTTTACTCTAAAATATCATTCTACAAACTTCATCAATATTTTTTGTTTAGACAATAGAGATTTGGTTATCCTATATTTCTCAACTACTTTTTTAATACTTAGATTGTATCCCCATGATACTCCCATCTAATTTCTCGAAGGCATTCAATTGCAACCAATACCTATTAACAACATCATAATACTGAGTAACAGAGATGATCTTCTGAGAACACATTTGATTTCAAGTTACTAGATGGTACTATTATTGTCCGAGTATATTTCTTTTGCTTAATCCTAGATCCGATTTGCAATGCCATAGAATATTAAAATTTGCCCAAATTCATTTTTTATGATGATAATGAAAAAAGACTATATTATTTTTAGATCTCTATGATCTAAACTTTTGCTCTCCTTTTGAAAATGAAAGGACATAGTAGTGAGATAATCATCCTTACCTTCCCCACTTATAAACATCATAATTGATTGAGCCCATTAGAGATAGTTTCATCTATTTAGCTTGTGCCCAATGAGTGATGGATTGGAGAGAAGATTTCATAATTGTCGATGTGGTTAGGAATGATTGTTTCATGGTAGGAGATGGTGATAGAGGAGAAGCTTCTATTGAAAGCAACTCCATATGTAACTATAATTAGGCTTAAGATTGAGGAAAACTTCAGGAGAAGAGAAAAGATAAGAGGATTTAACTATAATTAGGGTTAAGATTGACAAAGAACTTCATGAGATGAGAAAGGATCAGAGGAGATTATTCTGATACCATGTTAATACTCAATTGTTTTTCTTATGTCAAAGAAGGAACCAAGTTACATTATTTATCAACGAGTAAGGACAGCTAAGGGAGGCTGACCAAAGGCCATATTAGGTAGAAAACTAGTATAAATAGAATACTAGTATAAAATACTTAGAATTAAATTCATAGAATCTATCAACTCCTAATGGAAATAAATAACAAGAAAAATAATGCAAAATAGATAAGGAGATGAAGGGAAAATCTGGAGGAACTAGCTTCCGTCCATCCCAATTTGGGCATGAGTTTTGGAATTGATTGTCGATTAATTTAAGCTGATTTAAGGATTTGATTGGTGATTGATTCCTTCCAAATACAGAAGGGGTAGTGGAAGAGAGCTCAAATTTCTTCAGTTATGTCTAGACTTAGTTAACTTGATGGGGACATCGACAAGAGATTACGATGCATTTATCAGAGGAAACAATGGAGATCAATGACCATGATGGAGAGCCATTACTTTTCATGCACTTTATGTATTATTTATTTTTATATTTCAGCTTTTCCGATTTTACCCCTATGGGTAGTTAGTTTGCTATTATAGC